GGTGAAAAATAGTTTTAGTTTTAAAAATCATTATTTTCAAAATTTTGCATAACCTTCGCCTAAATTTGAAGCTTGTCTTTACCATTTAATCATGGTTTACGTATAAACTGTTTCATTTGAATTCATAAAAAAATTAAAACTTGATCGTACATATATGATTGAAAAATATATTTTTTTTCTTATTATTTTATATTGAATTGGATTATATTTTCAAATATATATGACATTTTCACGTTTTAGTGCTTATAAATGATTGAAATTTTTTAAACATTATTTAATTAAATATTAATAAACAATATTATTATTGCGGCCATCAGTAGCAGTCATAATTGACTTAATATCCTGGATTCACCCAGGGACGTAGCCAGGATTTCAATCTTGTATGGGTAAAATGGAGGGGGGACCCCCGAAATTTTTTTTTTAACTAAGAATATTGAAAACGACGATTTTGAGTTGTAGGCAAGTTAGATTAACAAACCAAAAAGACAATCAGTTTGTGTTTGTCGATACAAAAGTAATATGTCAATCTATGTGTCTAACGCTATACAAATTGAAAATATGAACGTTAGATAGATATCAAAAAAACAAAAAGTAAACTGCCTATCTATATAACAGATAGTAGAGATGGCTTGAACATCTGAAATTGATCTCTCCTTGTCCTCGTCGCTTCAAACTCGTCTTAATGATAATCATAGTTGAAAATGCACGTTCTGTAGTATACTTTTGGGTAATTGATTCATAAATGGATCATTTGCTTTTGGATTGGATTTAAGCTATTTATTTATTTAAGCAACTATTGGATCTTTTGTTTAGGTATATGATTTTTGTATGATTGAATTTTAAAGTGTAAGTTATTGGGTCAATATTTATTATTGGAAAAAAAAATTCAAAATTTTGCGAGGGCGAAGCAAAATCTTTGCTGGGGCAAAACTAAGAAGTACATTACAAATTAATTAGAAATAGTGGACCAACGGATAATGTTGGGGGGTGATCTCCCCCATCTTTGTCTCTGGATCCACCCCTATATATATATATACACACAATGTGGGTTGGTACCACCTTCAATTGCTTGCTCCACAAAGAACTGCATACTATTATTCCACACCGTCAATCTGAAAACAAGATATGGAGTTGGTCACACAATATTAATTATTTGATGAAACCTAAAAAGCAATCTACCACACAATTTTTGCAACTTTTTTTTATTCTGTTGACTAATGTAAAGACAAGTCTAAGTTTAACAACAGGCGGAGATTAGGTTTGCTTGTCCAACCAATTTCTCCACCAGTAACAAATGTCGGTGTCTTAGAGCAGTTTGGGAATTGTTTACAAATAATTTAACTTATACGTACATAGAAATGATTGGTGGATAAGTAGATAGTTTAATTGAACAACGTATTTGTTCTATGTTCTAAGGTGCAACACTTAATGGATATATCGTATTAACAATTGAATTTTTGAGTTGACATATATAGTGAGCAATGCAGAAATGGATTGAATAATCTGATGAAGGAAAACTACCGATGAAAGCACCTTGCTTGGTCAATATCGGCATTGTGAGGAGAAAGTTAGGGAAGTGAATTAGGGAAAACTAGGCATTTTGCTACCAAAAGCTCTTCGGAACTCTGAAAATAGAAGAGTTCTCATCTTGTGGTAAGCTTATCAATTATATACTTTCAGCAGTTATTCGTTTTGCACTTGGCTACCAACTTTTGCTATTGACACATAATTGATATTGAATTTCTAGTAGATGTAATTATAGTCGAAACAGAATGATTCAGGATTTCAAATTTTACGAAGAAAATTTAGCCCATGGTTTGTGTAATTTAAAAATAAAGTCAAAATCAACAATTAATTTTAATCGAACATTTTGTGGGATTTATAACTTTTATCAACTTTTTAACCACACGTTTTATTTACTTTTATCAAAATCCAAAAGAAATAATTTTTAACAACACCAAGGGTGTAGCAATTGTTTGACTCGTATTCTTAAATTCATTTTTTTCCAAACTTATTTTTAACCACACATTTCACAACTTTTGTTAATTTTTCAATTATACATTTTATCAACTTTTATCGAAATTCACTAAAATTATAAATTCATTTTTTTCCAATCGTATTTTTAACCACACATTTCACAACTTTTATTAATTTTTCAATTATACATTTTATCGGCTTTTATCGAAATTCACTAAAATTTTGATTTTTTATCAAATTTCATCGGTCTTAGTTAATTGTTTATCATATTAGTATTTAACGGTACTTTTATTGAGGTATTCAACTGTAATGACACAGGTCTCTCAACCAAAACTATTAATTTTCAATATAGATGAGTCATATAAGAATACGCCTTTCAAAATTTCTTTATTGATCAACCATTATAGTATTCAATGGGGATTAGCCAAGTGTTTTCATAGAATTCCACGACTGACGCCGCGACATATAGAATAAAGAAAAGAGAAAGAGTAAGCTTTGGTGCTTAGCCTTAGCTTGACAAAGTAAAACACGACCCCACCTGGTTACGTACGCATATCCAACCGTGCATCCAGTCCTCCCCAGACTTTTCAAACTCATTAAACCGTCAAAAAAGTTATTTTCTGAAGCACCCAATGAACCTCACATGAAATCTCATGGAAATACACCATGCAAGCCCCCCCACCCCACCCCCCTTCTCTATATATATTTACACAACCACACAAACATACTGCTTACAAAGCTCAAGATGGAATCTTGGAGACCAAAGTATCGAAAATCAGGCAAAACCGAGGCCAATGCACCCTGCAAAAAGCACCCTAAACACCGCCAATCGCCCGGTGTATGCTCTATTTGTCTAAGGGAAAAACTCTCTCAACTATCCACCAATTCTTCATCACATAGTAAAGTATTATCATCCTTGTCGTCTTCATATTTATCGTCTTTGTCTTCGTCCTCGAATATTTCTTCGTACTCGTCTCCTGTGAACGGGAGTAGTTTTCGTATGGCTTCAGTAGCAAGAGGATCCATGAGTTCTTTGAAGAGTACTGGCAAAGATGTGCTTAAAAAGAGTAGATCGATGGCTTTCTTCTTGCAAAGACAGAAAGATGTTGATAATAATGGGAAGAGTAAAAGCGGGTTTTGGTGGAAATTGCTCCATCCAAGAAATAAGGGCTTGACGCACTCAAGAACTGTGAGAGAAAGGGTCATTAATGGAGATATGTAAATTTTATGTATTGTTTTTGTCATACTCTACACAAAATTCTTTATTCTTCTCGATTTTTTCCAAGTTATTTATCTATCCATATAAAAAAAATGGTTAGATTTATGGAGGGAAGAAAAAAACATGAATATATATATATGAGATAGAATATATAGATACAGATCTCTCTATCTCTCTATGTTGGATGGATTCACTGTAAAGGGGTTGTGAAGAAAGGTTTCACTGTTTCTGTGTTATTGATGAATTGGTTCTTCTTGATAACTGAGTATGAGATCAGTTTCTATTTCAGATCCTTGTGATATTATCAGCACTCTTCTTTATAAGGGAGCTGAACGAAACAAAATTATAATAAATAGTTCGATTTTTGGATTTGATGATTTCATCGATGTTTTCGTTTTACCAGTAAAATACGTGTTTTCACAATTTTTTATTGTATAGCTCAATGTATACCAGCAGCGAACAGCCCAGAATGTACTGTTGCTAGGCTGTTTTTAGCTATGGTCAATTGGACCCATTCAAGAAATTTAATAATATTTGATTCATAAAATAAACAAAAAATGGAATATTAGGATCATATTCACCGACCAAGAATTTTGAATCAAAAATAGAAAGCTTCCTAGCAATTTCTTTGGAGTCAAAAGTCATAATTCCCATATTTTTCAGAATATAGGAAGTTGTCAAAAAGTCACATCACGAAACACGGCAAGTCGCAAATAATTTGATTCACAAAAAAATAAAAATTTAGTAGGTATAAAATTATTTAAGAAATACAATATGATTAGGTAAAATTCTAGATTTTTGTATGGCTATGTTCCAAACAAAGATTTGAACAAATAGTGGTCAGATCATTTTGAAACATTCGCCCTTAGTTTTTTATTCTTCATATTTTCTTATATTTTCAATAATTTAAATTTTTCATTATTCATTATTATATTTAATGAATATATGATCACACAAAACATCGTTGAAAAATTTATAAATATAGGATTATAAAAGCTGAATAGACAACAATTCGTTTAATCGAAATAACAACTTATGTGTCATTTTGCATAATGATTTTTAATTAAATATCTTTCCTTTAAAAGATGATTTTGTTGGCAAGATTTATAAAAATTATTACCTTCTTTTCCTAGACTCTAATATCAAATGAATAAAAAAATTAAACAATAAAATTGTAAGTAAAATAACATATTTAAAAATCTCAAAAAAATAAATTAATTAATTTGACTCTCCCAAACATTTGTAAAAATAAATAAATAAAAAGATTGATTTGTATCTTCTAATAATTTTTTTTTTCAATAATTTAAAAATAATTGATTAAAATGTATTTTTTTATAATAGTTGTTATTTTTAGCTAAGAAATAGCTTCTTATTCATTTTAAGTTCGGGTAATTGTGCTACTTAAAAATTGCCAAAAATGCATACGTAATTTTACTAGTATCTAGTTTAGATATTTTTGTCTTTTTTTGCAAAGAAGCATAGCGGAAAAGAACAGGGAAGATATGGGAAGTGCACCAGCCCATATCTAAATATCAAAGGACATAATCTTTGTTCCCTCCTTTCTTGAAATTTCGAACTCAAAACACATAATCTAATTAACATACACAAACACCAATATAACACATATAAACACACACTTATTCAATTAGAAATATGTCAATAATGGCTGCCCACCACCTAACCACCAGACACCATCACTGCTACCCATCACCAAGCACAACCACCACCTTCATCGACACCATCTTCAAACATGGCCAAAATCTTGAACAAATCAGGATGCCTACCAATTGAAAAGGCGATTGGTGGTGGATTGCTAGTAGTTTTAGTGAGGGGGCATTTATAGATTTCTCTCCAAATTTTGGGGTAATCTGATCATTTTGAGAAAATGATAGATGGTATCATGATAAGTGTGTAAAAACACACTTATTCGGCACTTATCTGGATTTAATTAGAAATGATATTGAGTATATTTCTATACATAATTGTGTAAATTTCACTCCCCCGTCAAGAAGAATAATGGAGCGAAAAAGGAAGAAAAATGACTAAAAATGCACAAAAATGTGACGATGGGGACTGAAATTGCACAAGACGGAAAGTTGGAGGACTTGGAGTGCAATTTCCTCTAGGATATTTAGTTTTCTTAGTGTCTAAGTATTGAATTGTTTTTCATTAATTTTGGCCTATTAATTGGGAAATATCTTGGGGACTATTTTGCAACTTTTCAAAAGTTTGGGGACCTTAGTTGCAATTTTTCCTAGGATATTTTGAAAACTTATTGGCTAAGTCTATACTCTCAAGCCTGGGACGTTTTTGGGGGTGAGGAAAAAAAGGATAGATTATATTATTTAGTTTTAGTTTTATAACTTAGTTTTTCTCTCTAGATTTTTCTCTTTTTTTTCCTTCTTGTCTTTATCTTTTCTTTTTTGTTGATCTTGGTTTATTTTGGGGAAGAAATTGAAGAGCAACAAAGGGGATACATTAAAGGATTTGGTAAAGATTTTTGGGAGAAATCAATTTCAAGCTTCAACTAGGGTTTATTCTACAACTTTGGTTTTTCTCATTTATTTTTCCATTTTTGTAATGTATTGTATACAATATCTCTTTTGTTATTATCTATATAAAATGAGCTAAGATTATTTTGTTGGAATTTATTGAGTAACTTAACCTAGTACTTCATTAATGTCAATAATATGTTTATTTTGATTTTGTTATGCATATGTTATCAAAATAATAGTGTATTAATCAACATGTTGAAAATTGCTTCATTTATTTGACGTCGATATATGTGGTAATTAGGTATTTATGTGATTGTTGGAAAATAATTACATTTGCTAGACCGAAATGATTGATGCCATGTGTTTGCTTAGTGTTTTAGACGCATCTAGGTGATGTAGAAATATACACCTACCTCATGTGATCCATTGAGTATTTTCACAAATATTGAATGCGATTATTTAACTTTGTATCGATATAGAAATATGTGGTATCAATTAATTAATTAGGGTTAATATCACTCGAAAGAGGGTATTAATTTAAAATAGGAAAATGGGGTCTAACTACTTATTTTGGTAATTTGCATATGCGCGTGATCGAATTGACATTAATGAAGTATAGGTTAAGCGAAAATGTAAATTTCAACATCTTTTCAAAACCAAATGTTTTTACCTTTTATTTGCCATTTTCTGCATTTTAAATCAAAATTGTAGTTTTTAGGGTTTTTAAATCCAGTTTTTAAATCTCTATGTGTGTTTCGTTAGATTGAGACGGATAAACTTAGAATTGAATTCAACACTCTTTGAGGGATCGACTTGGATTCTAAAGGTCCACTTTTACTACTTGTTATCGACCCGTGCGCTTGCGGCATAAGTTTCGGCCGAACAAGTTTTTGATAGCACATTGTTGGTTGGTTCGTAACTAATTTAGTTATAAATAACACGCTTTTATGGATGTGTTGACAGCTTTTAGCCAGCCTAGATGGGGGAGAAGTTCACTTTGTCTTGTGCGGACCTATTGAATTTTTGTTCCCTTCGTCGCACATTCTCTACACGTCTCGCAAATATTTTAGTATAGTTCGTAGAGTGAGTTTTTTGAGTTAACAAATAGTCCCCGAAGTTCAATTTTAATATTCATATTAAGTTTAGGATTTATTATTTCTTTCATTGCGTAGTATACCTCTAATTGTTCGCATAATCCTTCTTTCTTGGGGTGGATGACATGGACTATTTTGAGGGGACATGCTATGATTGCTATAGGTTTTTAGTGTATGCTACAAGACCTTTTTTTGAGTATTTCCAAGGTAATGCCTTGTAGGAATTTAAAGTACATGTTGCCCATGTCCAATTTTACCCATGCATTTTTTAATCTTGGTTAGGCACTTGTTAACATTTAGTAGCCACGATTACAAGATGTTTCTGAATGGTTTAAATACATTGTTTGATTAAATTGATGATTCATACCTTTCATCTGAACCTATAAGTGTACGCTTCTCGTTATTATCGCCTTCTCCGCTTTTTGCATTTAGTTCTTGTTTACAGTGACATCTTTGCTTATCGGCGATTATGCTCCTTTTCCGCTATCTCTCACTCTTTCTGTTTGGGTATGTGCTTGTGTTTTATCTCGCACTTTCCATTGTTTTGACAATTTATTTTCTCAAAAATGCTTATCATGGCTTTGGAGGCTAAAAGTTTTTGCCTTAGGGACGAACTAATCGATGGTATTACTTCATTTGAAGAAGTTCAAAGCATTGGAGTTGTATTTAATGTTGGTATGTATCCTATGGTTTAAACCAGTATAATACGAGTTTAGTGTTAATTCCCAACTTAGTGTTAAAGTACATACCGGAGCATGCAGATTTGAAGAGCCAATCTTGTATGCGTGTTCAAAAGATCATAAGTTCTAATTAATGAGCCATTTTGAGGCCTCATTAATTTTATTGGGAGGGATTATATTGTGGCCTTATTGTACCACAAATAGTCTTAAGTCCATCTTGTGGCTATATAGTGTTTCATGAACTTTTGCAGAATATGGGGCTTTCGGTCCCCCTTTTCTATCAATCTTTTATTTCTAGTACCACATACTGAAAAAGAGTGTTTTCCTTGTTTACGAATTGGGATTTTTATCCCTAATATCGTCCATTGATCTTGATGCACATGGGAAGCTTTAACTTTAGTGTTGCTCCCAAATGCCAAAAATTGGGCCTCTCTCCTCGTTCTAAAGATGTACTCGTAGGGGTTCCAAGGAAGATCAGGGTGAAGCTTCATGCGAAGATAAAGGTGTGATTATGTAACCTCTGTGCCTCAAGGGGCTGGAGATTCATAAGTATTTGGGTCCCTGCCTACGAAATCTGGGTCTCACTCTTCGCTAAATTTAACAAAGGACCTTTCGAAGGGAAAAAGAAAGATGACAGAGGGGTCTGAACATCTTGCAAATATCAAGGCTTTATTTTCTACCCGTCTCAATGAGGAGCTAAACACCAAAGCTCTATCGATGATTCCCACCTCTGT